TTATTATAGCCACAAATACTAAAAGTTCGTTACGTAAGTAAGTACAAAGTAAATGAATAAGTACAAACTTGCAAGTATAGGGTTTGTACTTATTCATTTGTATTTATTTACGAAATGAAATAAATGTCGTTTTATAAAAAAAGTTTTATTTTTCCGATACGAATGCAATATATATGCGTATATTAAACGGTGAGAAAAACGCGTTGTACACGCGAAAAGTACAGTGCGCATGCGGATACTGTCGCTGACGTTTGGCACGCATTGTGCAACGATATAGATTCACTTTGACGCCTGACGTTGCATAATTCTAGCTATAAATCATACGGAAGTGGTGATCAATCGGACATGCTGATCACCCAAGAATCCGTCCGGAAATCATTTCGATGCGCTTGATAGTGTACATTATATATGGATTGCTCCAATCATCGATGCGTGCACGTTGGCAAAGCGTGTAGAGCACGACTTTTCATATCGATTTGTTATGAACGGATATAGATAACTTTGATTAAAATTTGTCATAAAACATTTCATGAAATAGTATTGATAATCGTAATTCTGCAAAACAACTTGAAATTTTCCATAAGCTAATTTGAAAAACATTTAAAGTCTTATTTTAGTCTTATTTATTATAAAACGTTTTTTAACATATGTTAAGGAAATGGTATGATAATTATAAATTAGAAAATATATGTAGAGAAAATCATAAACCACTTTGTGTATAAAGCTCTCTCAAAAATTGATGTTAATATTTTAAATCTAACTAAAAATAATTTTTAAAAAATAATAATTATTTCCATAACAATTTTAATATTTTATTAATCCTCTTTTGATTTTATTACTGATTTATCTAAGAAAATAAAATAAATTGAGGGTGTTTTGTACTTATGGTGAAGGTTGCATAGTACAATTTTTCCATAGTAATTTTTTGCAATAATGAATTTTTTTTTCGATTGGACGAAGATGGTTCTATCATCGATGTTTCTGTTTAACCTTATGCTTGCATATCGTACATGCCGCAAAAATAACTTTTACCGCACTTTGTCGCAGTTACGAGAACCTTTTAGAGTGCACTTTTTCAGGTAATTGTGGTTCCATTTGAGGCTTACTTCTAGTACCGCCGTAAATTGCCGATTGTACGCGGCCAAAGGCGTACTCTCAAAAGTTTCGAATAACTGAGTCTTCGGTGCCATTCATTGATGTTATAGTTTGTAATGAAATAGCCATAGATATATATATATGCGTTCGTCATAGAGAAAGAGTAACTGGATAGCCATACCATACACTCAATTCTCTCTCAAACGAAAAATACTATATTCTAAATTTCTTGGAATGAAATCTCACCACAAGAGAATAAAAATACATTCACCCTTTAAAAAAAAGTGAAATATTTTCGAATTTCAAATTAATTGTTACGCAAAAGATAACAAATGAAAGATATATCTCGACAGTTTTCAATTCTGTATAAAAATACAATAACTTTATTCCTGGACTAGTTATTTATACATTTATTTATACATATAAAAATCTTTTACAGAGAGAAATAATGCCACAATTTATTATACAATATGTATTATAAGGTCTTAATAAGAATAATAAATATATGAAATAAACTAAGAAATTATAATAATACTAATCATTTGTAATTAATACTACTATATTTTTTTAGTTTATATAACTTATTTATTATTTTTATTATAGCACACAGTTGAAGTGCTATTTGTTTTCAAACTATTTGTTAATTTTTCTGAGTATAGATGTTTATACATAAAAGATAGAATGACAATTTACTAATATGAAATTTCCATTTATTTATGAGATAACTACACCTGTATGCAATATAATTACATGAATGCATGTTATAGTTATGATAATCATAATTCAATGTTGAAGTAGCTATAATTAAAACAACTATAAATATATAGTTGTCCTCAAAAATAACTATAAATTATAATAATTAAATTATGGTAATTCCAAACATTTTTTCTCAGTATATTTTCATGCAAAAGACAAGAATATCTTTAAAATTAAAATGTATATCTTAAATAAAAAAAAATTCAACAATTTTCATTTGTTGTTAATAATTATCAACATATTTATTCATATAGGTTTCTAAATAAATGTAATGGAAATTTTTTATAAATCATATTTAATTATATTCTATGTTGAAACATAAATACCTTGAAATTTACACCGAAAGAACAATTTTACTGAAAGTACTTAAAAATTTAGTCAAATGCTGAAAATAATTTTGTTAGATCATCAAAATAATTATTCAAGAATCTCAAACATAATGAGATTTTGAATACAAAATAATTTGACATTTTTATAACAATTAATTAATTGTAACCAGTAGTAATCGCAATGTTCTACATATGTAATTATTTTGATGGTCCAACAAAATTATTTTCAGATTTGCATTTAACTAAATTTTTATTTTAACAAAATTGTCTTTTTCAAGAATCAAAGAATTTAGCAAAAAAATTAATTTCTCACTTAGGATCAAATTTCGACAAAATCATACAATCAAACAATTGTTATACTATCTCAAATAAAAAATGATTGAATTATGATTACAGGTGTACCCGATTCGACGAAATATCATCAGAGCTCGAATCACATAACAGGATTCAATCCAGCGGTCTGTTTCACGTTCTACTTGCCGAACGAGATGCTGTACGTCGACGTGACTTCGGCAGAGCTTTGGTTCTACAAGGAACAGGTCGAAAACATCGATGAGCTCAAGCAAACATTTGTGCTATCCGAACTCGATCACTGGGATCAGGGTGGCAGATTCGAAAAGAACACCTTTATGGCAATCTTTGAGACCGATATCAAAGGTGAGTAAATGATGGAATTTCTCTCTCTCTCTCTCTCTCTCTCTCTCTCTCTCTCTCTCTCTCTCTCTCTCTCTC